GTTGACAAGTCAACTACTGCCAGTCAGCTTCAGGAACTTTTCCACCATCAACAAGAGGATGATACACTCTTGAAAGTCATCCATTACGTACAAATTGGGTGGCCTGAAATGCGAAATGAAGTCGATGAAGAAGCACGCCCCTTTTGCTCCATTCGTCATAACCTCTACATGGCGTCTGTTGGAGAGAACTCTATCTTACTTATGAATGGCAGAACTGTCATCCCCACCCAACAACAAAAGAAAACATTAAATAACCTTCACGAAGGACATCAAGGGATTGAAAAAACTCGCCGCTGTGCTCGTGATTCCGTATATTGGCCTGGGATGAACCACGACATCGAAGAAATGGTAAAACGCTGCTCTGAATGTCGAACTCTTCTTCCTGTCAATTCCAAAGAACCTCTGCAGCAACCACCTCTACCCACACGACCTTGGGACAAACTAGGCGTTGACCTTTATAGTCTTAATGACCGAGAATACCTTATTGTCACAGACTATTTCTCCGCCTTTACTGAAGTTTATGATCTTGGTAAAGACGCAACAGCACCAGCGTTGATCAAAGAACTCACACAATTGTTCTCTCGATTTGGTCAACCTGTTGAAGTCGTATCAGCCGGTGGTTCACAGTTTACTTGCAAAGCTTTTGCAACGTTTGTTGAAAGTTGGAATTTCATACACACTGTATCTTCTCCTACTCACGCTCAGTCAAATGGCAAAGCCGAAGCCGCGGTAAAGAATGTCAAGAAGCTCCTCAAAAAGTGTGGCTCTATGAATGACCAATTTTGGAAAGGTCTGCTGGCAATTCGAAATACTCCTCTCTTATGTGGTAAGAGTCCTGCAGAATTGCTGCTTGGCAGAACACTCCACGATTCCCTCCCTCGTTATCCTGGTCCAACAACGTTACATAATGAGACGAAAGCGAAAATCCTTGATATCAAGAAAAAAGAGAAAGATACCTATGATCAACATACTACCCCATTACCTCCGCTCCAGACTGGTACCCGTGTAGCTATTCGTTCCCGCGTCGATTCCGATTGGTCACTACTTGAAAAAATTACTGAAATTAAACCGAATCACACCTACATTGTATTAACCGACCAAGGATCCACACTCACCCGTAATCGAAGATATCTAAGACCTGCACCTCACCCTGCTGGTAACAATACATCTCAAGCGAATGACGAACAGAACCCAACCCCAACGACTAATCCATTGGGAGGAAGGCATGTGGGACTAAGCGATCCATATAATTTAAGAAAGAGATGTCCTAAAAACTGAACTTGTGAAAGGACTATTATATTACTTATTGTTGACGTTGTGTTCTTACTGTTAACTAACTGATTGATATATAGTGAACAATATTAACTTTTGATAATTTTATATATGAAAGGAAAGGAGATGTGGTATTATTGCTTTTACATTATGTTACATGAAGTACTTTTACTTATATAATATATTAGGAACATTGTAAATAATTAGATATAAATTATAATAGATTATTCTAAAATACAACAGTGAGTTCGAGAAATTTTTTTCATTATTCTACATTATAACTTATAAGTACCCAAAGAAGCTAAATATATATCAAAAACTGGATACTAATAGCTGTTTTGGGAAATGGAGAGCAATTTCAAATCTGTTCAGTTTTTTATACACTCTGTAGTGCACGGGAACGGGAAGATCCTTATATCAATAATATACATAGTATGTTGCATGTTGCTTCATTTTTAAGAAATCACGCAATATATCAATATAATATATGTTGTTGCTTCATTCAGTTAAGAAATCACGCATCTGATCTGTATGCAGTAATCCATAATTGAAGCCCATTGAAGATTATTTAATTATTTTAATGGCAAAATGTTAAGGAATAGAAAAAATATGACTTTACAATATAGTAAGACACCACTCTCCTCCGCAGAGCCTTACGAATTTTTAGTAAAATTACGTAATATTACTTGGGAAACAAATTACGTAATTGTTAGTTAAACGCGCTAGGTATCATGGGAAGACGGAAGCTACGTAAGGCTCTGCCATATAATGTTTCCAAAATGGCGTCCAATTACAGACATAAAAATATTAAATTTCCTGAATTATTCATAGACAAATATGCAGTTTCAGGATGCAAAAGTTTGCGGTGAATTGGTTTGTTCAAAGTGCATTGAGAACAACGAGGAAGTAAAGTTTTTTGACGATGTTGGACCGAAAAAACGTTTCAAAGTTTATATAAATAAACATCGCTCCTTGAAATTCAATGACAGCATATGCACTCTGGGTGAAACGCTGCACGTAGTGAAACAATTGTCGAATCTACGGTATGTAAATATTAAATATATTATTTTTGATTGATTAAAATACAAAGTATATGTACTATAAAGTATGTATTCATTGCTGTGTCCCCAGTGTATATGTATTTGATTTGGAACAGATTTGGAACAGTGTGTACTTTTTATAATTTGCAACTCTTGGATGAACCTAGTTGTTGTTGGTGGCATAATAAATGGCCATTTATACCACCCAGGGTTTGTAATGTTTGTGTGAGTATGTCTACATGCACTGAACTCTGGTAGCTTATATTATCAAAGGTGGCCCGCAGTTATTGGGAGTATAATTTCTGTTGCGGTAACCCTGCCACTTGTACTTTATATGTCTGTCTGTCTGTATATTTGATGTACTTACTGTATCATGGCAAAGCTAATGGGTTATTCCAGAAAACATCCATACCACCCCCACAGAGGAAATTGAAGTTAACCCCCCCCCCCCTACCCCCTTTGGATGTCCTAAATCCTAATACATTTACTATTATCAGAAACAATTTTGTCTCCCCTCCC